TCGAGCGGATGATGGACACGCTTTTGCGCAGCTTTAAATGGTCTATCTGCCTGTGTTATCTGGACGACGTGATTGTGTTTGCCCCAACCTTTAAGTCTCACCTCGAGCGCCTTTCCTCAATTCTTTCAGTATTTCGAGAGGCTGGGCTCCAACTTAATTCCTCGAAATGCCATTTTGGGCATCGCCAAGTTACTATTCTAGGGCATCTCGTTGACTCCTCCGGCATCCGCCCCGATCCCGACAAAGTCCGAGCTGTCCTGGATTTTCCTGTACCGACTTGTGTCAAGGACGTTCGAAGTTTTGTGGGCCTATGCTCATATTTCCGACGATTTGTCAGAAACTTCGCAGAGGTCGCACGCCCCCTCACTGATCTTTTGAAGAAAGATGTACCATTTGAGTGGGGTCCTGATCAAGGCACGGCCTTTTCCCAGCTCATAACACTTCTGACCACGCCACCGATTCTCGCCCACTTCGACCCGTCTGCTCCAACCGAGGTCCGCACTGATGCTAGTGGCTACGGTATTGGCGCGGTTTTAGCCCAGCGTCAGTCCGGTCACGATCGAGTTCTTGCGTATGCCAGCCGGCTCCTTTCTCCTGCCGAACGCAATTACTCTATTACGGAACGCGAGTGCCTGGCGCTTGTATGGGCAGTTGGTAAATTCCGCCCCTATTTATATGGCCGGCCTTTCACAGTTACCACTGACCATCACGCTCTATGCTGGCTTTCAGCCCTCAAAGATCCAACGGGGCGCCTTGCTCGTTGGGCTCTGCGCCTCCAGGAATTCACATACACAGTGGTTTACAAGTCTGGCCGTTTACACCAAGACGCCGACTGCCTCTCTCGGTACCCCGTTGACGCTCCAGATCTAGTAACCGACGACGCGTCCATCTGTATTTCCTCGCTCTCTGCTTTCGGCAACATGGGATGTGAGCAACGGCGTGACGCGTCCCTACGCGAGCTAATCGACCGCCTGAACACAGGCTGTACAGACAGTTCGCTTCGCATGTTCGTTGTCATAGACGGCATTTTATACCGCCGCAACATGCACCATGTGGGAAACGAACTACTACTCGTAATACCCACTCATTTGCACTCGACCGTACTTCAGCAACTACATGATGTACCAACGGCTGGCCACCTTGGTGTTGCCAGAACGTACGACCGTGTCCGCCGACGCTTTTTCTGGCCCGGCCTCTACCGTTCTGTACAACGTTATGTTAGGTCTTGTGAGTCGTGCCAACGCCGCAAAAGGCCAGCGGTACACCCCGCCGGGCTCCTTCAACCGATCGACGTACCTGCCGAGCCTTTCTATCGTGTCGGCCTCGACCTGCTGGGCCCTTTCCCTCTTTCTACCGACGGTAACAGGTGGGTCGCCGTCGCCATAGATTACTCGACCCGTTTCGCAATTACGAGACCTCTTCCAAGCAGCTGCGCTACAGATGTCGCCGACTTTTTGATTCAAGACGTCATCTTACATCATGGTGCTCCTCGTCAACTGGTCACCGATCGCGGTCGCTACTTTTTATCTAAGGTAATTGACGATCTACTTCGTTCTTGTGCAACCAAGCACAAGCTTACGACGGCCTACCATCCTCAAACAAACGGCCTCACAGAACGTCTGAATCGCACACTCACTGACATGCTCGCCATGTACGTGTCGACGGATCATCGTGACTGGGACATTGCGCTACCCTTTGTCACTTTCGCTTACAATAGCTCACGCCACGACACTGCTGGATATTCTCCCTTTTACCTTTTGTATGGAAGAGACCCGACATTGCCGTTCGACACGCTTGTACCCAACCCTACCGACCTGTCCACAGCATATGCTCGCCGCGCTATTAGCACCGCGGAGAAAGCCCGTCAGATTGCCCACCAGCGCCTTTCGGACTCGCAGCTCCGTCAGAAACGTAGCTATGACAGCCACCATCGGGACGTCCACTTTAGTCCAGGTGACCTCGTTCTTCTGTGGACTCCGTCGCGACATGTTGGTCTGGCTGAAAAGCTTCTACCCAAGTATTCCGGACCTTATCGTGTGCTACGGCAGGTAACTGATGTTACCTATGAAATAGCACCTCTAAACCCTTCGATACCTTCCACATCTTCCGACATCGTCCACGTCGCTCGCCTCAAGCCGTACATCTCGTCCAACACCTGCTAACAAGCGCCGGGTCGGCGCTTTTCGCCGCCGGAGGTCGATGTTGCGGGTTCGCGGCTATGCAGCTATGCGGGCGGTGCGAAGAAGAAGACGACGACGTTTTTGGGCTGTTCGAAATACACAACGGCTGCCATCTTGACTGCTGGAGTACTTTTCTACTCTAAAGTAGTAAATACATTCGCAACAATATAAAATGGACAAAACAACACGAAACACTCTATCCACCTCTTTGCTCTTGCCTCGTCATTCGCTGTGTTTCTCGCTCTCTGTGAACGGGACTAAGGATCGCGTAACATCTGGTAACTAGCCACGTGGGTAAAATCATCTAACATCACGTAACAACTAGCGTGACTGAAAACCCCGGAACTTCCCTCGACATCCAATAGTGCGACTAAAATTACGTGGCATATGGCCACGTCCCTAAAATGTCCCTACACCACGCAATAATTAGTCGCGAGACATTTTGCCACCACCAACCATGCAACAGTTAGTCCCATGACTAAAAATCGCAATCCCACGTAACAGGTACTGATGTGACAGGCCTAGCGAAGTTAAGCCAAGTCGAGCCATTCTTATTACTACTAGCGAAAACTTTGCATATCTAGCGAAAGCTTGGCGTTACTAGCAAAACTGATCTATAGGTGGAACAATAGCTGCTCTGGTGGTTCCATCCTTGTGACATTCGGTGCAAGCTGCACACTTTTTCGCTCGGCTGCTTTTGATTTCTTTCACAAAAGTATAGAGTTAGTCTATTACTTGCTTGCTTCGGTCTCTTTTTTTCGATACTGGTTCATACATTTTCATTTCTGAATAAGTTACACCACCTCCTTGTTACTTATTCGTTTTTTCTTTTGCATTCGTATGCTTGAGTAAGTATCAGTGAACTGTTACTATTACTTACTTGTATCTTTCGTACACTTTCTTTTGAAGTTAATGTGCACCCGACACATACTCATGTGTTAAGGTGGGTTGGGGGTAGTTTACTAATTAGAGGGATGTGTCTCACAATGTAAAAAATATTTCCTGGATGTTTAAGTCATAATGATAAAGTGTTCCAAATAGTGTTTTATTTTTGAACATCACAAAACTATTCAAGACTTTTTTTTCATGCCGCACTTCATTCAACGTACAGCAATATAGCAATCTGCATTGTAGTGAGCTCATGATTCCTTGCCCGCGTTCAGCACTTATTGCTAAGCCGATAAACAAGACAACACCATGAAATCGAGAAGACGCTACGCAGATATTAGTACATCAAGTTCTTCGCAGCAACATTTCGACATACGACATATAAATGAGCCAAATACTATGACAATGGCTGATAACGTTTGACCCTAATGGCTAGTTTATAAACGGTTCCTAGCATTGGACTGACTCTGCGACTTGTTCGGTACGCAGTGGTTTGCATTTGAACTGAACGCCTTAATTTAATCATAAAGTCACACTAAACAAAGATAAATTAGAGCTTCAAGAGGTTTCAAGCTTCTCTTCTGGTAAAACAAGTGTAAGCAACAGAATTGTGTGAACTGAAAGCAGTCATGGTGAGCAACCCTATTAAGGCTCGTTAATCCGATCACCTTGACGACCTGAGCTATTTTATAGCAAACGTACATTACAAGTAATTGCACGATTGTGCTTGTACAGATAGTATGAATGAAACATTGCCAACTCTATTGCACATCTCCGCTTCAAATGAAGTAAATCGCTAATCTACGTATTTCTCTCCATCTAATTCTGCACGTTTCTGCATAATAAATTATAAACTTAACTCCCTAGAAACGGTGGCTTAGTCCAGCATTGGTATCAAAACAAGTATACAAACTACTTGTCCCGGTGTCCCGATTCGCTGTCTACTAAAAAAAAAATAAAGGTCAGGAAATGGTCAATTCATCCTTTCTGTTTGCTTGAAATCTATAAGGTGCATCATTTTGAGCCGGTTGGACGGCATCTGCAAATACGTTTAAGAAGAAAAAGGAAATTGCAGAAAGATGCCAGCACAGGGCCTTAGTCACCTGTGTTTTCCTAGGTGCATTTTTATTTTCCTGATGTTATTTTTTTCTCATTGAACTGTGACCGTTGTTAACTTGAGCATGCCGATGCACCAGGCCCACTGCACAGCTTCAGGCGCCAACTGCGTGCTATTGTTCAAGAGGCTGATCCGAGGTTTAGATTTGGCTGCAGATTGGCGATTAAAAGTAGCGATGAACGCTTGCGTGAATTTCTGGAACCGTTGTAATGGCGTGTGAAATTCGAACAAATGATTTGAATTACAGTAGACAGACACAGTAACGAAGTAGACATACAAGGAGTGAACAATCGTGATATATTTTCAATCTTCTTCCTCCTGGTCCTGCGAGTTAGCACGAAGCGAAGGAGCAGTGACTGCTCTCAGGTGGCACAGTGTCAGCGCGCCAAGCAAATAAGCGGCCCTTGTGCTATCAGCATGTTTTCCACAGGGTTCGAGAAAGACCCATTTGTTTCACTCGTTATGCACGTCCCTGTGCATTTCAAAACCTATGACCAATGGCGAGGTAGGAAAAGGTACTCCAAGTGTAACAGCACACTCGAGATATAAGGGGTGGGTACGCCTCAAGAGGGTTTCGAATCGTATCAGCCAGGCTGCCGATAACAGCGTCACACTTCTCGTACGACAATCGTCCAGAAAACTCTGACGTGAAGATCGCAAGATGCGTACAAGGTGCCTCGAAAGAGCGTCATTTGTGGCGTGATGGTTTCTGTATAAGTGATCATCGCTATAAATAACGTTGTGGTTTTAACGTCTCTTTTGTGCTAGAATTAAAACTGTACACGCTGTGTACCACCTATTCAAAAACCAAGGAGTAAGTGATGCCATATCCGGGCGCCAATATTTATTTACGTCCTAGCAATAATAATTTGAAAATTCTATGTGCAAGTGTGCTCCATGGGAGCAAGACCGTTGTGGCTCGTAAACACGATGGGTGTAATGGTTGTAATACTAAACACTGTGGCTGGCCAGCACCACGGTGTGATATAACGTACCTATATTACATATGACGGTCGCCATCTGGATAAATATCAGTGTCGTGCGCAATGAGTTGCTTTCGTTCGTATGAGGTGTCACTGGCGATGTGGTCGTTGCGCTGAAATCTTCACGTAAGTCCACCACAAAGCAAAGTGCAGACCATTTTGCGGAGTGGTATGCTGTCGCACAGCACAGCTTCAATGCTCACGCCGCACAACCGGTGTCCCCCTTCTCTTCAGCCGTAGCGTTGGTCCTTCGCGAGGAAATCATGATGCCGAGGAACACAAAGCCCGAGCACAGGATCACGCCTGCTGCGATCCTGAACAGGTTGTCGTAGGAACCCGTCGTGTCACGAAAATACCCTGAAACAAAGAATAACGTTTTATCATACAATAAGAACCTCTATCTCTTCCCGTCACCTCACATCTACAGCGACGTTAGCATATCACCAGGGTGCGTGCTATAAAACGTCGTTACTTTTTGTTGAGGAGAATGCTACCAGTAAAGTTTTGAACACCAAATATAGTGACACAATCATGCGTATTACCATATAACAATGCATAAATGACGTAAAACTTGCATGCGTAAGTACTATTGAACGAATTTAAGCTCGGAAACACGAGGGCGCTTTGAAAATTGTAATGAACATTTATGTGCTGGTGGGGGCCTACCAGTGATGTACGTCTGAATTTTTCACGACGCTTTAATCTGTCTCAGCCGTGAGTGATCTCTGCGAAGCATTTTTATACAACTAAGGAATACATTCAGTTTAGTGCGACCACCGTAGCTCACACAGTTTTGTTCCGTATGGTTCACTCACATTTTTAAAAGTTCCTTGTACATTAGCACTTGTGAGCGATGCTTGAATAGCACGTAAATAACTTGTGTCAGTACCTTTCTCCGGGAACTTCCCCTATCGCTCAGAGAGAGAGAGAGAGACAGAGAGAGAGAGAGAGACAAAGGAAAGGCCGGGAGGTTAACCAGATATTGGCATCTGGTTTGCTTCTCAGAGCATGCCATGCCACTTAAGAGGTTAAAGTGCAGAACTTTAATCATAAGTGCCAAACAATTTGCATTCGCATGGCCTTATTCTTTGTTCATATCTCTTAAATATGGCTAAGAAGTTCTACTGAAAATTTTCCAGTGGCATGCGTTGGTATTAATGATTCCGGCTACCAACTTGCTTTTTGGTCAACATCGTCTAACCCATCGCAAGCATTCGGATCTCCCTTGGCCGTTAAGCGCGACAGGCACACTTGACACAGCGCTTCACTTTAGGTTTATTCATAGGTGTACGCATGAGAGAGGGGGGATCATGGGTGCGCCTCTCCCCCTCTAGTCGCAAAAAGGGGAAGGAGCAAAGACTACACCATAAATTACCTTAACAGAGAGGGGGCGTGGCTGATTGATTGATATGTGGGGTTTAATGTCCCAAAACTGCCATATGATTATGAGAGACGCCATAGTGGAGGGATCCGGAAGTTTCAACCATTTGAGGTTCTTTAACGTGCACCCAAACCTGAGCACACGGGCCTACAACATTTACGCCTCCATCGGAAATGTAGCCACCGCAGCCGGGATTTGATCCCGTGACCTGCAGGTCAGCAGCCGAATACCTTGGCCACTAGACCAGGGTGGTGGGGCGAAAGGGCATGGCAATGAACTTTGTCCCTCCTCCCACCCTGAGGCACAGGGTGGGTTTATCGATTATGAATTCATTGGCTTCATTGGGGCTCATTGATTTTTTATTTATTTATTTATTTACATACCCTAAGGACCCGGGAGGGCATTACATAGGGGGAATTAGGAAGATTTTCAACATGTGTAAGATACATTAAATGATCAGAAGCATCACTACATATAGCCTAAATGGAAAAAAACAGCACACACAACAGTGGTGATAAGGATAATAAAAAACATATATATATAAACCTTGCAGAAGAAAAGGTATTCATTATGAGCTTATTGATGTGAGATCGGCAGTGTTGCAAGTGTGTCGTTTAGACATCGCATGGCACACTTGTGAAGTGCCTGCAAGGTGTGCAAGAAATAAGGTCTATAGCCACTCGCCCTGCTTGCTCTGCTTGCTGACGCCAAATGTGTTTGGTTTGGACAGTCTCTGCTTAGCCTTTTCTTTTCTCCTTTTCCATGCTTCTTGTTCACGCACAGCAATTTTTTAGCTTACTATAGAATTCTGCTGCCGAAGAGGAAAAAAAAAAGAAATGGGTTGCTGATAGACATGATGAAAGAGACGATATAGATCACCTGAAGATGACCCACTTGTTCACCTTGATTTTCAATGCGTTATTGTTTCACTCTCCAATACCACAAGCATACCATAGCCAGAGTTCAATCGTCCATGCACCCCTTTGTGTTAACTTCTAGAACCGCATTTCTTTTGAAGCCTATCGGAGACCACTATCTCTGTTCTGACCGCGGAAGTCGTCCTTCGCTTTTATGTTTGCTCAATGCAACCTCCTCTATTGTGCCTACCTGAACTCCCGCACTTGACGGGGCTCAAGGGCTGCAGGCTGCATTTTGTCATCCCAAGTTTTATCTGAGCCTGAAAGCTTTTTTTGTTAAACTGGGCTGTAGTGACCCTGTATTAGAAAGCGATACGAATTTTCTGGAAAACGGGAACAATGCGTAGAGCGTAGTGCGTGTTGCCAACTTTGGAAGCGAGCATTGAAATAGTAGCGAGAAAGAAAGATTGAGACTTTCTGGGAAAACGACAACTCAGCAATGATACAGCCTGGAAAGAATGTCGCAATCGTACTTATGAAGTCCTCTTCTCGCTATCGTACTCCCTTGAATGACGTCATCGGGAAACAATTCGAAGCCTCGGATGGCTAATAACAAGATGAACGCATCTCTTGAAGAGCTTCATGATAAACGTCAAAGCTGATAGCTTTCTTTTTGAGCTCTGCAGGTCGGTAACTTGACAGTCGTTTAAGAGCTCACTGACACTACAAATGTGGTGATGGGGCATTTAATGGAACAAAGTCACTGACAGTTTTGCATTAGAGACTGTTCCTCGGCATTTTTTACATAGAATATTTACAATTTTTGCGTTAAATTGCGCAGTGTTTCGAAGTATCACGACTAAATACTAATAATTTGCAGGCTTTGGGTGCCAAAACCATGATATGGTCATGAAGTACGCCATAGTGGAGGGCTCTGAAAATTTCTGCAGTCTCGTGTTCTTCAACGTGCACTGATAACGCATAGTGCAGGCCCCAAGCATTGAGCTTCCTTCGAAATACTGCCGCTGCGGCAGGAATCTTTCCCCGACTTTCGGGTCTGCTACGAAGTATCGCAACCACAGCACCACGGCAATAGGCCAGAGGTGCAAGTTAACCTTTAGATGCATCTTGTAAGAGACCTCTCGTCGAAACTTGTTTAATTAACAAGTTATGTAAGTAACCAAACACATGAACGTTATACGAAAATACAGTTTGCCTTTTCGAGCCTAACAACCTTTAGCACGATCTCGCAGCATACTTATTCATTTGCAGGGACGGTAAATTCCTAGCACAGAAGCTTTCCCCGATAAGGGTTCGTGTGAAAGCTCCTCAGGATGACATAGTTCTTTCACTGTTTGTGTTGCCTAAATTGGGCCGAGAATATATATTCTTCTCGAATGCGGAGACAAAGTTATAGCCGTGATTGGTTGACATTTATACCTGAAGCATGTACGGATTCATATGATGCTTGATGACTGGATGCGATTCTTAAAAAGATATCGCTTGCATAGAATAGCCGCAAAGTTCCTGTGCGCTTTTAAGAGATAGTGATCATACTGTTTCTCCTCTTTCTAACTACGTATCTCCTTATCTCGGGGGTTCTCCAACTCATCTTAGGCAGCGGGCCACAGTCACAGAATTTAGCCAGGCGATGGCCGGGTAAAGGAAGAACACAAATGCAAGAAATGGGAGAGGGAGGGGGGAGGTCAGAGGTTCAGTTCATACACATTGTCAGGAAATATTACCGTTGGTAAGAAAACATTTTCGCGTATTCATTTCTGAATTCATTTCTGAAGAAGACTTGGGGCGATGTCCAAAATGAGTAAAGTTTGGGTGCCGATTCTTAAATACTGTTTTTGTTTCACTTTTATGCTTCAGCGCATGATTACCGCAAGATGTGCTTCACACGCACAAAAAAAAAAAACCCTTTGGGACAGCCATGCTTTGTAGTTCGCGCACTTGCTACTTATAAAAATTAAACAATAACTGTATATATGACGAACATAGCCATGTCCGGCCAAATGGCCGCAAGCGAGAGGTTTGCAGGCCGCTCCGAAGGAGTTCAGAGGACACAAGCTTTCCTGTTTTGCATTGACGAGTGCACCTGGATGATCGCAGCAAGGCCGGGCAAAGAAGGCGCTAACAGCGTAATTTCTTTATGAGCCGAAAAATGTTCGACAACGTATAAGTAATTGTCTCAGACCTGGACATGCGAAAACCTGGACCAGACCTGGACCTGCCTTCCGAAGTCATCGGCTACAGTTTAATGGGCTGAAAATCGTAACATCAAGTCGCGGTTTATTGAGCCCTATCAACCTGCTTCAAATGGGTTAGTTGAGCGGGCGATCAAAGACGTCAAACAATACATTAGTTTGTATCCAGCGTATAAAGGTGGTTGCAAATGTTGTCTAGAACCGGCAGTTGCTCACCACACCCGTTTATACACAACCAGACTGGGATGTAATCCTCTGTTTGCTGAAACTGGGAGACCCACCTATCTGCCTGTGGACATAAGCCTTGGAATTGACAAGAGAATAAATCTACAAGAAGCGGCAAGCTCAGAAGATAGTGTATTCGGGTACCGTGAAAGAATGAAAAAAAATTTCCATAAGCGACCAATTGCAACATTACCGGAACTCAACATCGGTTACTTTGTGCTGGTAAAAAGAGGAGCGACTCTTAACACGGCCTACAAGGGGCCATTTCGCGTTATAAAGACGGCAAGTAAAGGAGAGCACTTGAAGACCATATGGTAGATTGGTCTTAAAGACATTATGAAATCCGCCACTATAAGAAGTATATTCATGTATCATCCAAGGGGGATGTAAACCATGGTGGGGGAAATGAAGCAAGCCGAGTAGCCGACATACAGGAGAAGAAGAAGAAGCAGAAGAAAGACTAGAAGACAAGGGGCGGGGGGTGAAGAGAATAAAGAAGTTCGATAGAACAAGATGGACTCTCTTGTGTTCAGTGTTAAAGATCAAGTGAAGTTTATACATGAGACCTCTCCCTTAGCTTATAATCTGTCCACACCTACTCTAACCCTATTGCTCACCTCCACCCCTGACTGACCTCATCGCCTCGCTGCAGATTTTCTAGTTCTTCAAATCTTTGAATGCGACGTTTAGTACACACAATTTTATCAAAAGTTAAGAAACCAGCATAAGTAATGTTTATATGCGCTAATATACCACTACGGGTTAGTGGCATTAAGATACATCGCAGCTGAGGACGAGCAGCGTCGTTGTTTTGAGATAGGCTTTCTTAAAAAAAACTCGATGTATTGACATCACCAGCACCACAACTATATACGAATTCTCAGACAACTCTTGTGTTGCTTCGAAACATTGAACCCTATAATGTGGCTTGACTTGCCGGAGCGATTCCACTGCAAACTAGCAGTTCGTGTTCCTCATAGGAAATTGACGACTCACTCTTGTGAAGCATGTGTAGCCCACTGTACTTAACGCAGACTAAGATAGCTTTTCTACGACGGTGACATTGCAAAGAACTGTTACAGTGAGAGACAGTTGCGACAGAACTCACCTATTATGAGTGGGTTGCTCAAGAGCACCGGCACTAGAAGTAGACCTGACGCTCCCGAAACCAGAGCGACGGCATTTGCACCCAGGTTGTCGGCTATGAGAACCTGTTTCATGGTGAGGAGGCCCGCCATTGCCACGGACGATAGCGCCCGGAGGACAATATGGGCAGCACCTGTCGTTTCCGGCGTGGTGGCGAACAAAATTCCCAGGGAGAACAGCGAACTGCAGGCCAGCGTTGGTCTGGTCACCCAGCCAAGGTCGGCGATGAAGGGCAGAAGCACACGACCGAAAATTTCAGGTCCCGCGGCATACGCGATGGTCAACGTTGCTTGTGTGTGCGATACACCCTTGTCTCTAGCATAGTCAACAAGTGTTGAAAGATGCACGAGATTGATGTAGTCCAGCAACATGGAGCCCACGACGGCTAGGAATAAACCCAGTGAAGGAAGCCTCACGCGTTTCGCTAGCCACCGTACTAGTCGACCTGGTAGATGTGTAAATCTGTCTCTGCAGGTGGCGTTCCGAGTGCTCTGCTGTTTCATTTCGCCCTCTTTGACAGACTTGTAAAGGTCACCTGATTTGCTATTGCTTTGAAGGGATCTGATGGTCAATGAGCTTGCTGAAGAGATACGCCGGCTGATTTCTTGCACTAATCTTTGAGCAATGTGGTCGCCGCTTGCGACTTCCGAGTTTAACTTGTCGAACACTTGCTTGTCTGTGTTCAGCAGCGACCCATGGCAGCCTAAATTTTTTACCTCTAGCTCGGACGCTGCTTTATTGTCTCCGTGGGTGTCTATTTCAAAATTAGGTATTGAGGCACTTCGTACTAGTCTTGGTGAAGTCTTACTCGAAGAAACGTTGCTTCTAGGTTGCTTGACGGTGGCTAATAAGGCCTCCGCCTCTGGTACAGGAAAGTCACATTCAGTAGCTTTTTCTAATCCTATTTGATTGACTACTAAAGAATTTACTGACTCGATCTGCTTGTTTAGTGAAGATTTGTGCCATTCTGTCCTGACGTCCGTCAGCCTGTTCAGGTTGTCACTGCACAGTTCCTTCGCTGACGTCTCCTTCTTCGATCTCTTTCTGCGGATCCATGGTGGTTCCTTGAGAATTATGCTGAAAGCAGTCACGTGCATGGTAATGGCCGCATACACAAGCATTGTTCCGCGAAACCCGTAGACGTCTTTCAGCGTTGACAGTACCATCGGGAACACGATCGCACTGACAGGATTGGCAGACAGGCGAAGTCCGGCTGCGATACCGCGGTACTTGTTGAAGTACTGCATGATGAGTACTAAGTTCACTACCAGTAGCATTCCAGAGCCCAGACCTGAAAACGAGTAAAATGAATGGTTCAAATATTTCCGTCTACCCTCATTGTTGAACTTTGTGTCTGGACGAATCAGTATACTTTGTTAGCAGTGTTCTTTTTTTGTATGTCGCCACACAAGTCTCATTTGAATATCCATCGCAGCATAAAGGGCTGCACAATAGTATTTTGGTAACCTTTTTTTAATGGGCTGAGTACATTTGCGCAACATATACAGTAGAAGTGGCAAGTAAACAAGATCACAGACAGGCAATCAGATTATAGGAATTATTCAGGTGCGAATTATTGGGAAAATAAAAGCAAACTGCAGGATGTACTTGCGAGGTATGTTTAGTACTTTACGGCAGAACGATTGACAAATACGTCTTCAGAATACTCATTTAGTGATTAATTAAACCTTATAAATAATGAATCATAAAATGACCTTTCTGCGCTGCAATATACGCTAAACACATCAAAACGCAGCTATACGAATGCATAAATCAAGCTAATGGCGTAATGGTTGCCCAAGACAACCATCAAAGCAGTGTCGTGAGCGAAATCGTCCCACTGTGTCTGGTAGGCAAACGGCAACGGTTGAAACATACAAGACTGCACTGGAACGTATTCAAACGCTTACCACTTGCATCGAGGGAACACTTTTTCCCACATGACATTGTCTTCCCTAAATCCTCATTGAGCAAGCTGCGAACCTTTATACATATGAAACGCTTCAATGTTACTTAAACGTTAAGAAGGCTGATGCTTCTGTTTTGTGAAGCTCAAGAGGAAGGACATAAAGTATACTAACTTTTTTTACGTGACTATCGGAATCTAAGCCGGACAAGAAGAGTGGACTATATACGTGGACATTAAGTGTGAGAGATCGCTAAGCAGGGAATGTCGCTCGACTAACGCTTCGAGAACGTCATTACATTTGTCAGAGCGGCAAGCAGCTACTTTGACGTTGAAAACCCTCGTGTTGAAACGTTGGCTCCCGCAACGTTGACTGTTCAGTTCAATTTAATTTTAATTGATATATCCCATATAGATAGATTAACCCGTGAAAACGCACCACACGAGTACACGCAAAAGGTTTTTTCGCTACAAAAGAAGGTATTTAGGAAGGTTGGTTTTCAATGATATTGCCGGGAGACGCTCGCTACGTTAAAATTATAATAATGCTGACTACATTATTCGATTTAACCTATTCTCTTCTATACTCCTCTTGCATAATATTGCTACGCACGCTTCTTTTTGAACTTTTATGTCTTAGTTAGATGTATAACCACAGCCCTGCGCATGCAATGCCGGAACGTCTGGGGACTGCCTTGATTATTTTAGACTCTGTTGATAAGGTTGCGCGCACAACTCGAGCAGCCGAGCTTATTCTGCATTGGGCTAACGGAACGCATCCACCAACGATAACTCTGAAATCTTCGACGCCGCGTGTACAGTCGAGCGCTATATGAAGATTATCGCGTGAGTGTCGACTAATAACTACAACAACGTCCATTCCGGAATTGTCTTTCTAGGAGAGGGTTGTATGGCGCAAGCGTCACTCACTACTTTTGCTGTACCTTATGATCTGATCACTCCCGTCTCTGGAAGCTGAATGAACGAAGCTTCGTTTATGCCTAGCACCTGCTGTAACTCATCTTTTTCAGCAATTTCGTAATCGCCTGCAGACATAAGAGCCCACGAAGAATACACTTGATCACGAAGAATGGTGACTTAAAATGAAGGGAAAAGGTGTAGGATTCGTCTTGGGGGTGACTGTTGTAGCATCATAGAAGAGTCAATGACGAAAATAAGAAGGTGAAATCTTGATTTCCACCACTGCGAAACATGGTGTCTAAGGCCCTGGTACGCTTGGCAGGTCGACGCTCGCGTGATAACCTTCATATCATGCACGACTTTACGCCTCACGTGCCGATCACTTTTTTACAGCGAAAAGTGTAATGAGATCAAAACAAGGGTCGTTTTTGGCACCGTATAGTTGTCTGTCACCGCCGGTATCTGTCACACCACTATTGTGCTAAATGAAAAAAAAAAACTCAATACCTAAAAATGCCGAGGACAGATTGATGTGAACTCCGCCCCCCTGCGTGCCAGCCCAGTATTTTACAACTGCTTTACGCTGGTGCTTGACACTCTATTCCAAACTGACCCTAAGCAGGCTTTATGTCGGGCAAGGAAATCTCGTTAATATGCGTAATAAAGTGATTTAGAATAACAAAGGAACAACAAGACGTCGGGCAATGATATTTGCGTAGCGAGTGGGTCATCGAATGCTCCGACCCATTACAAAAGTCTCATTCTTCATTATCGTGAGCCACTGCAACAACCAAGTCAATATAATATTATCATCATGATCAGCCCACAAAAAACACAAAAAACACAAAGAAGTGTATGACACAATGACTTTCTTGTGTTTTTATTGCACTTCTTGTGTGTGTTTTTGTGCTTTTTTGTGCGATAATCGTGATGAGCACGTTCAAATTAGCCCAATTTGCTACTTCGTATAATGCCTTACAAGCTCTTGGCGAGTACCACGCTTCTCTAAAGAATGACAAAGAGCAGCACAATGGATGTCTCCATACTGCACACAAACTATGATGATTTATGGCTAGTGAGCACCCTGCAAGTGTGCTTGCGGAGGAGCGAATCCTCCTTCGCCTTTATACTAAAACTCTATTGTGCCCGGCAATCATAAAACACTTTGACCCCGCTTGCATGGGGAAGTGCCCGCATTGTGAGGAAAATTCCTCTGACATTTTCCACATGGTGTGGGCATGCCAAAAAACCCCAAACCTTACCCCACTACCCAACCCTTCGCGGGAGGACTGGGAGGCAGCCCTGCTCGGCTGCTCTGACCTGACGGCCCAACGGGCCCTGGTCGAGCGTGCCCGGTCCGCGGCCAACGCCAATGGGCTCCCGTAAGAGGGAGCTCACCTAGTGATTGTACGGGGCGGCCCCTTAAGGACCGTTCCCACCCTCCCTGTAAATAACATCTGTAAATAAATGTTTTTCAGCAGCAGCAGAAGTTGCTCAAGGAACGCTGAAAAATACTCAAAAATGCTGCTCTTGTACCTTTCGCAGCACTGCGCGTTTCACGCTGATTTGGCTTTTTTCCCCGTCGACGACCAACAATTGTAATCGCCGACACAATTGCACTTAGGGTGCTACTTTTCTGGCTTGGCTTCGGCCAGCAACACTTTAATCATTTCCGGCTTGAGTTCTGTGCACTTCACCATCACGACAACGGAACTGAAGCCGGGAATGCTGAAGCCACTTTCGTTTCGTAAAGTTCTGCCACAATTGCAGACAATGTCTAAAAACATAACTCGTGTACGGAGAGGCGTAAGTCCACGAATTTCTTCGCTGCGTCTTACCATGAGCGAATCCCATCATCACCGTCATCCATTCAACGTTCGGTACAAACGCGCACACGATAAGGCTGCTCCACAGTAGCACGCTTCCCACCAAACCCATCCAGTACAGTGGAACGTGCTTCTGCAACACCGAAACGACGAGACCTGCGCACACACACAGATAATGTTTGTTTGTCAATACTTGCGTTTTCAACGTGACAGCGTTAAAAACCTCTTTTTGCAGAAATTTCAGTGTTTGCGTTGTGGTATCAGCGTTATTAGTTGTGAGTGAGAAATGGGGAAAGATGCAAATAAAATAAGTGTAAAAACTTTAGTTTGAGTGAGAACTTAACCCAGGTGTTATGCTTCGAAAGTGAGTGTTCTACCACAGAGCCACGCTATTGCTTGAAATGGCTGCGGAAAAAAAAGTATACAGTGTGGAGCCTCTATAACTGGCGTAATAATGTGTGCGTAGCAGAATCACACCAGGCGAGAGAACATTTAAGATGCGCAACTGGCGGGTGTTTTAAAGGCCCACTCAGTACAGAGTGCTTAAACATATTTGACCATTATCAGCAGCAAAAGCATCAACAAAGTGAGCAGCTGCACAGGTTTGCGTGCTGGCTTAAAAATGATCCCTTCACTGATTCACTAAAAAAATTGTGGTGTAGTGGGTTCTTTGAAACTGTACTTGCAGTAGGTGCCCTAGGATGTATTTTCAAACGGGCAATGTTACGCTCACAAACATTTGTTTCACTGTGGAACAGTTAACACATCCACCGAGGAAGCGAAGCTAGCCCTTCGGAAGGCGACGCTTAGCGCAATCAGGGTGCCCAAAGCAGGGTGCCAAAGTTTTTATTGAACTGCAAGTGCTTGTCGATGTGTGGGGCACTACAAGTTAGTGTTACCGCCAGTGCACTTCAAGCTCAGAAGTTTTCTTGAATACATACATCATGCAAGTAGTTCTTGTACTTGCAAATTAGGGGGTTTCTCGTCATCGGTGGCAGGTTTGAAGTTTGAATTCTATCACGCTAAACCACTGCTTACAAAATTGTACGAATATTGAGAAACCGTAGAAGGCTTTGTTGCGACGTAGTATGTTCCACCCCTCGAAATTGCAGTATAGGCAAACTAACCGAGACGCAGATGTTTATGTGCTTCTCATTCAAGAGTGACACATTTTGAAGGACCACAATATGCATCAAATGGCCTAATTACAAATTTCGTAACAGTGCTGAATTGCGGGCCTTACTTGAAGAGGTATTCTACAGTGTAGCAAGTAATAAGACGTCCCACTTATACATTTCTCTCTTTTAATTTCTTTACATGCATGTTGTAGCTAGTTTAATTTAGGTGTCGCGACGTCGTTGCGCATATTGTGACGTCTATGCAGACCCGTAGCCAAGGGGAGGGATAGGGGCGAGAACCCCTCCCCCGCGAGAAAACTCCTCGCTACGTTTGCTGAACATTTCGTGACTGGCGTTATACGAGGAACATGAAAAAGAGGGGAGGACAGAAACAGAGGGGCGCCAATCTGTCTCTATGAGTTCTCCTGGCGAGGGACCTGCGTCTGTGTAATCTCGCTGTAAAAAGTTCACGTGCAACATGGATCTGGACATGACGTGAGAAAAAGAAAACGCTCATTTCTACGATTATTAGTAAGCGCCAGAATAAATGAAAGAAGTGGGCTCGTAAGAATGAGCCAGCCTATTGGAGATATTACTGACCGGAGCTGCGTAAGGTAACACCGAGGACAGAGCCTGGCCAGGCGGCGCCACGGCGGTCAATGCCGAACTCTTCCATGAAGACGACGTAGAACCAGCCCATGTTGCGGTTTGTGGCGATGGCGAAGAAGCCGGCCATAGACGTCAGCGCGGCCACATCCCATCGACAGTCCACTTTATTCCTCATCGCTCAGTTTGATTTGTTTTCCTGCAACGTAGAAGAAATAGCCCTATACCATCGTTGTGCCCCGGGGGTGGAACGCCCAATGTTGAAAGCAGGTACCTTAAAAAAGCATCGATTTAACTTCGTTGCGATCTCCCCCCCCACCCCCCTCATCACTTACTCGTACGCAGGGTTGCATACCAGTTGAGCTAAACAGGTGAACGCACCTGCCTTTCGTCTTAGGTTTTCCTTCCTTGACCATTTCTCGGCTTTCGGTGCTACAAAAAGTGTTTTGCTCAACTCTCTAGTAACCGAAAGTTTGCATGCCGTTTAGACTTCTGTATAGTCGTTTCTGTATTCCAATTTGATACTCTTGGTCATTATATTTTTACTTTATTCAATTTGGAACAATTTTCTTCAAAAGACACAAGCGCAAATGTCCAAGTGATTGGAAAACAGCCGCTTTCACTGTGCGCGCTGCGGAATCTCGACATCCGTTGAGTTCGACGACGACACAGCTGCATGCCGCTGTTGCTGGCTTTCGCTACATTTATCAAAGGGTCCGAGAAGCCCGTGTAAGCGTAGAAATCCAGAAATAGAGCAAGTGTTATCGCTACGTATGTTCCAAATTCGACGCGAGTGGATCGATAAAGTGTTGTCTGAGAAGCTCGTTACTGACTGACTGAAATCTTAGCTGTCCATTTCGTTGAGACAGGAATCCGAAACGCGGACGTCGACTACATACATCAGTTGCTGGGGCGAGAGATACCCATGGCCGAGGTGAGCGACCTTGTCCTCTGCGAGTGAATTATCACTTCAACTCGATACCCACTCTGTGCGTAATCACGATTCCACGAACATGACATATCAGCTAGATCACGCTTACCCCTTTTGCTGCTGCTCTCCTACATCTTTCGTCTCTTTTTGTTCTACATTCGAGTGATTTCTTTCGTCAGCCTAATATCGGCGCATTTTTGCGTCGATTTCGTATCGCATTGCTTCTTGTGTGTTATGCACGGATGTTGTAACTATTGCCAGTTAACGGCAACGTTACATTTCGAAGCCGCCTCGCTATGATTACCGTTGCGCCTACTACGTGGACGTCGTCAGTGAACAAGCGATGAATCAGTTGTTCACGGGGGATTCAATTAATGTGCACAAGAAGAGAGTATGATTTTCCTCGCTCTCAGTGCAGCGACACTCACGGTGTGAAATACATTAAAAAAAAGTATAGACCAAAGTGAAAACTACCGATGAATCTGTAAGACCTACTTGAAGGCCTAAAATATATTGCGAAAGTGGGAAAGTATAAACCTGCAAATTTGTAATGAAATAAACGAGAGTTCAATCTTATAAACAGCACACAAAAACTTTTCTGCCACAAATAATTTCAGTGCATGAAGTATGCAATGCTCAGATATACAGCTAAATCTTGAATATACTTTAACTAAGCCCTCACAAATATTGTAATAATTTAACCGAGGCAAACTCTAGTTTTGGATCTTCTGAAAGCTACAAAGTGCATCACTGCCCTATATATATATATATATATATATATATATATATATATATATATATATATATATATATATATATATATAACCAATTCACTAGCTAGTCACTAATTAATCGTACGAAATAACAGCTTTCCGAGATAAATTGTCACTTAAGTGATGCCGCCACGTGCTTTCAATACATGCCAAGGAAAGGAAGCGGGAAGTGCAGAGTGGATTTGCGGTTCCGAAAAAGCTATCCACCCAAAATGCGATGGAATTGAAGGAAGAGAAAATTTTCAAGATCACCTTATAACAGTGGATGCTGTCACAGTGGGATGGAACCCCAGCGAATGTTGTGCGAAACGTGCTGCTTTAGGCACCGCCAATCGAAGACCACAAAAGAGATTGACGACTTCTGTGCCGAGGAAACCTGAAATCGTCACGGAGTGCTTGCGCAACTCGATTGCCTCATGCGAAAGCCTGCTCAAACACGGAGTCGCGACAGCTGCGATTCTTCCACTTCAGCATGCTGAGAATTTTCTTGAGAAGGCCGGTAACGCGACCGTGCTGCTTACGCGGAGTCACTGCGCCATATGCTGGCGCGTTCAATTTACCATTTCGGAAATCGACGCAAGCAGAGGCCGGGTGACGTATGCAGTATGCGTCACTCTCGAAGCCTTCTGCCTGCTGAACTGGCGCGTTCCTGCTGCCGCGACTCTTCGTTGACTGCTTGTAGGACTTGGAGTGGCGACGATAAGGCGACCTTGCTTGGCAGGATGAGAAGTATCTGTAACAAAACGCCAACGTGGGCGATAAGGAGCACGCGCCGACGTGTGTAACAACATACTGTAGGCGAACGTTCCGCGATGACCACGTTGAAAGGATAAAAAGTGTTCCGAATTGGAGCAAATGGTGAAGATAAAAGAAAACTGATGACTGACGCCGGTAGGTTTGTTACGTCCTTATCTATTACTACGAAAAACAATTCAAATAGGTTTCACTGTTTTTCTTCCTTATCAAGCTCGAGCGAAAAAAAAACATATCTATGGTTACATCTGTATATTCTGTCTCCGTTTTACGAACAGCGGGCCTTAACCTGCCTGTCACAAACCACAAACTAGCATCATCATCACTTTCAAATGGCACATACTCCCTTGATCCTTTTCAGCTTCTTCGCTACCAAAACACGTGCGGCGATTTCTCTGGCGCGGCGTGCAATAACTCTGGAGGGCGGGATAACGCGTACTAAGAGAGAGAGAGAGAGAGAGAAACACGTGGAGATAGAGAAATAACGACAGATCAAGGAGGAATTCTGTTAAGGCATGGCGACATTCGAACTAGCGTACTCACGATCCTAGGGCAAGCGTGTTAACCACTCGGCTATCCAGGTATTCCGTAGCATTGCCTTGTGTGGTATAGTATAGGAAGGCTGTTGGAAACAAAAGTGAGGGTGAGGTGAAGGGAAGTGATTAAGGCATGTCATAGAAAGCGAAAGAGAGAAATAGAAAAAAAAATGAAAGGCGGGAAAAGAAGAAAGAGAATCAAAGGAAAAGAGAGATAAAAAATGGCAGCATATCCACGGAGTGAATGATGGAGAGCGGGGCGAAGCATTCGTCCGTCCCAGCGTCCATCTGTGTGACCGTCCATGCGTCTGTTCGTGCGCCCGTCCCTGCGTTCGTTCATGCATCCGCCCCTGCGTCCGTTCATGCGTCCATCCATGCATCTGTCTGTGTGTCCGTTCGTCCATCTATTCAACACTCCAAGTCCCACCATATCGCATCTTTTTATCATATAATCCCCATATAGAAGCACCGCCATTCAGTGGACATTCCAAGGACTAAACGAGAGGTGGCACACGCACACTTTCTTGCGGCTAGCGCTTCGGGTCTACTTCCCACCTTCAACCACCTTAAGTTCATGGTATATACTAGTTCACTGTATTCATGGCACTACGGCCCAACACTCGCTAAACATTTCTAAAACCAAGGAGTTTACGCCCAGCGAGTATAACGTAGCAACCTTTTTCTTTTAGATAGTGCTTTATGTACATGCCAATGGCTGCTAATGCGAAATGAAAGACAGGAGAATTCGGCTTTTACTTTCTTACGGCTTGCGCTTCGTATCTACTTCCCACTTTAACCACCTCGAGTTCATGGTATATACTAGTTCACTGTATTCATGGCACTGCGGCTCAACGCTCGCTAAACCTTTGTAATACTAAGGAGGTAACACCCAGCGAGAATATCGTAGCAACCCTTTCTTGTCCGATAGTGCTCAATGTACATGCCAATGGCTGCTAATGGGGATCGCAGCGTGCGCGTTGAGTAAAAGCCGAATGCTCCTGTCTCTCATTCCCCATTAGCAGCCATTGGCATGTACATTGAGCACTATTTTTTATTGTTAAACAACGCACAGAAGAAATTTCTCACCGGCACCACCTTGGAGGTGAAATGTTATACCTATTTCGGGTATGTGCCACTGGTGGTTACGTGCTACTAGGGACGCACAAGTCACGCCATAAGGAGCTTCGCCTCTAAAAATCACAGCATATCCACGGAGGGAATTATAATGAGTGGGGCAAAGAGTCGAAGGGTTTTTATCACTATAAACCGTAAATCATCCGCCGGCCGCATTCATCCATCCATCCTTCCGTCCATCTGTCTGTGTGTATGTCTGTCTGCTCATCCATCTGTCTATCTCTCTGTCCATTCGTCTGTCCGAATGTCCGTCTGTCTGTATAACTGTCCGCCCGTTCATCTTTCCATCCGTCTGTCCCCCCATCTCGTGAACACTCCAAGTACCACCATCTTGCATCTTTTCATCTTTTATTCATCATATACAAGTACCGCCATCCAGATTACATTCAAAGGACTAAAACGAGAGGTGGCTACTAAATACGGGAGGCGCACGACCCACACCTTAATAAGCTTCACCCCTAAAATATTAGTGAAAGATACAGAAAGAAAGAGATGGAAAGATAAAGGATGCGAAAGAGAAAGAGAGAAAGAAAAGGCAATATAAAAGAAGATAGAAAGACCGGGAAGGAGGAAGAAATGGGGACAGAGAGAGAGGAATGGGAATAAACACACGAATAAGGCACACAAAAACCTAGAAAAGAAAAAAAATATAAAAAGAAATGGAGGAAGAGGGAAAGGAATATTTTACAGAGGCAGTAACACCACAACAAAGGTGGCCGTCAGTTCAGCTATTTGTTTAGCAGTGCGCCTTGATTGAAAGCCACGCTAACTTTTCACTCAATATGAAAAATAATTTATAGACATCGCAATATACCCCCATATACGTGTTTCGAGGTTAGAAGGTGTATTCCTCGGCACTTTGTCTTGTCCTGAGTAAGTTGTCACCTCAGACGTTTTAGTCTATTCATGGACATGATCTAAATATTACAGAGAGCATCGCGCTTTCAATTTAACTTAATCTTTTTCATACCAATCACCGTATTATACCACTCTAAAGGGTCACTGCCTTAATTGACGCAGTGGAGGCATATAAATACCAAGAACAGCGGCTAACAGAGACAAGTCATTGTAT